AACTTATAGCCTGCTTAAAAGTATTGATTCCATGGATCTGTTCCCTGCTTAGTTACCTTGGGATTGACTTAGATATATTAGGATGTCACAGTGTTTAAAACTAGGGCAGTCTGTGGATGTGGAAAGTTTGGGGATTTTATCTGGCTGATCTGAGTGTCTGTTTACACTTGTTTTAAAAGACTGGTTGGGCTAAAGTAATTTCATTCATGCCTTATGGAGTAGGAACTCGGTTGGAGTCCCTATCATAGTTCGTTCATCGTGCTGAGGGATTGATTTTGCTTCGAGAATCCTGGCACTGCCCCACAGCCCTCGGTGGTCATGTGGTTCATCCCAAAGGGAAAGCAGGATACCTGACTTTTGTCCAAGAGTCGTCCTCGCAGTCTCATCTTTCACAACAGCCAGACAAGCACAGCCTTGATAGAACTGTGGGGTGTGGTCATCTGGCAGCTTGACCCAGCTATCCTTGGACACAGCCAGAGAATCCCGCCTGTGGGTCACGACCTGTCAGCGTGGGACAGCACTATGGAGGGCAACTGTGTTTCAGGACAGTTTCCTAGGAAGTAGCAGTCTGTCCACTGTGCAGTGGTGACAGGATAGGTGGCTTTGATTGCTGTGGTTGAATAGTGACTTTTTTTTTAATCAATAGTCAAGACAAGGAACATTGGTCTGAATTTTGTCACTTAACCCATGAGGATTGATTTGAACATTGTGAATTTTATGGCTGCCATGTTGTTCCTACTTGAGTTGGCTGTCACCAAGCTTATTGTTAAATTGAGCCACTCCGATTCTTTTCTTAAATAAAGCAAGAGTTAAATAAAACAGGGTCTGGTGGCTCAGTGGCTCATGTCTATAATCCTAGCTGCTCAGAAGGAGGATCTAGGCTAGCCTGGGCAAACTTCCTGAGATCTTAGAAAAGTTTATGAGATTCCCAGCTCAACCAGTAAAAGCTGGGGTTGGTGGCATGCATGTGTCATCCTAGCTACATGGGAAGCATAAATAAGAGGACGGAGGTCCAGGCTACCCCAAGCATAATTTTTAAAATACCTAAAACAAAAAGGGCTGGAGGCATGGCTTAAGTGGTAGAGTGCCTAAGCATCAGGGCCTGAGTTCAAATCCTAAAAAAATTTAAAAATGATTGATGAATTTCCTTTAACATTCTTAAAACCATTTAAAAATTTCCTGTGTCCCAGATCCCTTCATCTGTCGGTCCATCTATCTATTCTATCAGTTTTGATTTGAGAGCTGATAGGAATACTAAAAACCAAATCCTTTTGTTGCTATTCCATGTAAAATAAATGTTAAGTGTTACCAGAAAGTCACTGCAGCTATCTGGACTCTTGTTTCCAGCTACAGAAGACACAGGATGCAGTGAAAATGAAAGTAAAGATTATTAGGAAAAGAATACACTTTCAGTAGACTGAAAACCACCTCTAGGGTGACTCAAAAGTCATCTCTGGGGGGAGAACAACAATACTAGCCTTTGGGGTTTGAATATTTGTTGAGATTATCCCTGGGAAATTTCTACCTGTAGTCCAGCTGATAGGGCTGAGGTCATGGGTAAGCAAAGGTGTCACAGGCTAGGGTGGGTTTACAGAATTACAATGTACAAATGATTATTGGCTCCACCTGACCCCTAGGGTATGGTTTATAGGCCTGGATCTTTGTTTTGTTAAAAGATCTGTTGTTTAGGAACTGTTGACCCACCTCAGTCTTAACTAAAGCCTTTCATTAATCTTTAGGTGGGCAGGGAGCCTCAACAAGCATCTTGTGACATCCCATGACTTTGGTGGGCTGTTTTGATTCTCTATGAGTTGGGAAGTTTTAATTATAATTTCTTCTCTCAGAGACCTTGTGATCACTTCCTCCTATCCTTGAAGAGCTCGGTTCAAGGCTAACTGTGACCTATCATTGAAGGTTTTGACCAAAGACTTGCCCCACCTACCCTACCATGTACCTTAGGTGTTCAGAGAAAAGAAAAACTTTCTGATTCTCATTAATTCACTAATTGCAGAACTTTTCTTGGACACTTAAAAAAAAAAGTAAGAATTAACCTACTTATGGACAATTTTATAGCTTATAGTGCTTTTTGTTGAGTCTCTGAATTTCTTTCTTAAAACAAGGTAAATATATTACATCCTCATTTTTCCTGATGTTTTTCAGAATGGGTAATTTACCTGCCCAAGGTCCTATGATTTAGTAAGTAATACAGCCTGGTAATTGAGTCTGGGTATTTTGAGGGCAAATACAATATCCTTTTTTCTATACTCTTTGTTTCTTAGAACTTATAAGAACTAAAAAACAACTGAGTGTCCCCTTAACAGTGTTTTTGAAGGTGAAAAAAGAAAGTTCTGGCTTAGCAGACTTTTTAAGGAAAATCCATGCTCACAGTATTTCCGACCCTGTCAGTTTCATCTTTAATCATAGTACAGGAGTGGAGCATTGGGACTTTTCAGGTATTTGACACCTGAGATGAGTTTTGGTAATATCTTCCTCACCCTAGCCCATGCGTCCCTGTGAAGACTGCTCATTTGATACCTAGTGCAGAAATTGACTCTTTGAGCTGAGGGTAAATGAGATTGAAAAGTTTGGTGTCTTCAGCATGACCAGAGTTGTTTGTGTGTGGGAAGAACACAAGGACAAGACAGACTGGATGGGAATGGGGGGATGGGACTGGAGGTGTGGCTTAAGTGGTAGAGTACTTGCTTTGCAAGCCTGAAGCCCTGAGTTCAAACCCTAGTTCCATTAAAAACCAAACTGTTATCTTAACAGAGTGTGAGCAGGCTGGATGAAATTGCTGGGTTTGTGAGTGTGGCCTATGTGGGATTGTGTGTATGTGTGTGTGTGTGTGTGTGTGTGTGTGTGAGAGAGAGAGAGAGAGAGAGAGAGAGAGAGAGAGAGAGAGAGAGAGAGAATTGTGGCAGACTGAGTATGCCCCATCTTCTAGCTGGGTGAATTAATGCTCGTATTTCATTCAATTTAAAAGGGTTCTGCTTGAATGAAGTAGGTCTATAACAGTGGTCCTGCCTAGGGTTTATAAATGTTACACAATAGCAGCTAGACTAGCTAACACTTAACGGAACTGATCAGGGGGTAGGCACGTAGCAAATTGTCTAACATAGATGGTCTCCTTATGCTTATAGCAGTCTAAGGGTTTAGCAGCCATTATTATCCCCAGTTTTAGAGGGGTAGACTAATATTAGCTTGCCCCCTAGTCATCCTGCAAGTAAAGATTTGACTTGCAAATCCAATATTTGACCTAATCCATGCAGCAGATTCTAGGCTTGGGGTGGTGGAGTATCTGTCCAGCAAGTGTGAGGCCCTGAGTTTAAACCCCAGTACTGAGGGAAAAAAAAAAGATTCCAAGCTCAAACTACTACACCTTTGGTGTGTTGCTGCTTCCCGATGAACTTGAAATCTGTGTAGCTCTTGAAGAAAATCCAGAATATCGATGGTTCTCGAGGGACCCTGGCATACATTCACAAGGCCATGGTGGCATCTGTCCTCTCCAAGCAAAACAAGTACTTTTTATTGGCACATTCTTGCAAAGGATCAAATATGGCCTCTGCATTAGTCCACCTTAAGGATTAATTCTACAACCAGGGTCCTGGTAAATTATTTTCTACCCAAATCAGAAAATAAAAATGACACCAAATTCACTCCGTATCACATACATTTATATATAGATATAAATAAAGCCCTTTTACCTTCCTCCTTATCTGGTTCTTTTTGTTCAGGGCCTGGAAGAATGTAGATAGACAAAATTTTAATTCTGGAGGAGTAGTTTTCTCAAGCATAAAAATCTGCACCATCAGCCTCTGTGATGCAGGTGGAAGGACAGCCACTGGCAGGTCCCCTCCTGCCAGTGAGAATACAGCCCTGCAAATTATTGGCAGCTGGTACTGTCAATTTCAATATAAATGGCTGTTGCTTATTAATTTCTGCCAGTTCCTAAGCAATTCAGGAACTGCTTTGGAAATGTGGAAATTTATGGAGAGCAGTTGGTGAAGGAGGATGCCTGGGAAAAGGGACGGAACAGAATAGTGATGGTGCTGTGAAAGAAAGGGCACGTTTTGTGGGGTAATGTGGGGTGCCGGAGAAGACCCACTCCTTCCCTGCAAGCATGGGTCACTAGCTTCATGGGTCAGCAGCAACTTTCCAAGACAAGGAAGAACTGAAACTTCGCTTCTTGTTCTGTATAGATGTGTATATGTATTTACCTACTGTCTCTCTGTGGTTCCTTTCTACCAAGTAGGCAGGCGATTGTTCTGTCCCTATCCCTGCTGCAAGTGTTTGTCACTCAGGTTTGTCGGAACCACTAGCAGTGGGTGGCAGCAGTGGGCAGCTCACAGAGGAATGCCCAGTTGGAAAGTAATCAAATAAGCCACTCAACAAACCCTTCGGGACTTTTGCCTCTGTTAGTGTTTGTAATCTCACTTCAAAAGACAAGCTTAAAAGAAAAAAAAGACCTTTAACCCTGCTTGTTCCTGGAGCTGTCCATGTCATTGTTAAATAAGTTTGCATATTTTCCCTAAGTTCTTTCCTGTGCATACTTCTCAAGAAGTGATTCTGAATCTGATGTTTACTATCTTAAGAGAAAGTGTATAGATTTTTTTTTTCTTTTGACTGTCTTTAGCCTTTTTTCAACTCTTTTTATTCACACAGCTCATTGAGGTTCCTTGTTTCCTTCCCTTTCTTTGCTGAGATCCTTTGAAGATTTACAGAGGACAATGGAAACCACCCTGTATCAATCTGTTTCTGTTATTCAATGCCCCAGTTCTACTGGGACTCAGTAAAATGATAAAGTGGCTTAGTTTGCAGGGCTATTTATAATCCTCAGTGTAAATATGATGGTATTTATTTATCTGTCTAATTAAGCCTGTCATTCTATACTTGTGTCCTTTGGTTTGGGGACATTGAACTTCATACAAAGTTGATGTTAGGAGAATTGGTAAAAATATCCATTTCCTTTCCGTTTTTCTGTCCCCTCTCATCCTTTCCCCTCCAGGTTTTTGGCTCATTCTCCCAGACTCAGGTGAGATCCTGATGGCTACCCCGCAGGCAGGTGCTGACACACTCCCCCAGTCCTGACGCTGACGACATCACCAACTTCAGTCTCTAAATGCCACAGTGCCCTTGGGGCCACTTGGGCTGGGGACCACTGTTGCCTTTTAAGGTAGGTTTGCTCACACAGACTTGAGCCCCTGGGTGTCTGCATGAATGAATGGAACTGCTTCAAAGGTGGTGGGACAAAAAAGTTTTACTACAGTTGAAATTGCTATGTTGTATGGAGCTTGTGGGAAAAAGACTTTTGAGTCACTTCCTTGGATTAAGGTTACACCCATCTAACAATTTAAAAGCCTTAGTGTTAAAATAAAACAAAACAAAAGAAGAGGTAGGTACCTATGAAATCCTTCCTCCCCTGTGAATTGCCTTTGGCATCTTTTCTCCTTGGTTGTCATCATCTTTATGTTAGATTATGTTTGAGAAAGGCAAAGCTGGTTTCCAAATTCCACCTCAAAACAAAGATAAATTTGGTTTCTGCTTTGGATAATCTTTAAAAGGCAAAAACAAACACAGTCAAAATAATAATCTTTTCTAAATCAAAGATCATCTTTTATTTATTGCAAAGCTGTCTTGTTTAGTCTCTTGGGTTAGGGGTATTTGGCTATGACTTGGTAAAACTCTTGATGACTTGTAACGATTTAGCAGAAACTTTCAGAAACTTCTCAGTTTAATCTTAGCTCCTTTTCTCCCACCGTCTTCGAATGCAGCATCCAGTAGGGAGAAAACAGGCTTGAAACCAAGACCTCCCACTAGAATCTAATTTTAAATTTGCAATCTGTTGTCTTGTGATTTTTGCTTCAAATTTAACTTTGAAATAAATACAGTTCATCTTTTCCCCTGCAGTTTTGGAGGTCTGTTTTCATGTCATGGAAGGGTAATCATTTCATTTATTTTAAATAAGTTTTTAAATATCTCAGGGGAGTGAAAAGCAATATCATTTATAATTATAACTTATGTACGTCGTTAAATGCCTTCTTGTTGAATTTTATACTGTCCTTACCAGCAACAGAAAAACCTTCCAAGTCAGCTTTCGACTTGAGTATGACATGAATTTGATCCTGTGACCTTCTGGAGTTGAAGTGTCCTTGTGTTAAGGCCATCTTAATGATGAACTGTACCACTCAAGAATAAAACTTCTGTAAATCTAGGTGACAAATGTGATGGCAAGTAAGGCCTGGCCTCTGCCTTGAGAAGTCTGTAATGACATGGGAAGGGGGTACCTGGAAATAAATAACCCTGCCACAGATAGGATGGGAGGTGGCGAAGGACCATTGGAATTTAAAGAGAAAGTGGCCGACTCCAAGTAGATAATATATTCTTTATCTTAGGTGAATTCCCCAAGCCATCTGTTTGAAATTTGGATTTTGTTGTAGGTGTTCGTCTAGTGCCACATCCTCACTCTCTTCAGTGGGAAAAAAAAATTCAGTGACTTAAAACTTGCTAACATGTTTTATTTATTTTTCTTACAAAAGTGAGTTATGAATTACATGTATAGTATAGCAACTTTGGAAAAAAGACTTGTGTAAATGAAAATGACCCATGATCGCTCTACTTAGAAAAGATGCTTTTAAAATTCTTTCACAGAGTTATCACGTATATGAAGTATGTACTCATTCATATTTAGGGAAATTTTTTTCCTTTTTGTGGTGCTAGGATTTGAACTCAGGGCCTACACCTTGAGCCACTCCACCAGCCTCTTTTGTGATGGGTTTTTTTGGGGGATAGGTTCTTGAGAACTGTTTACCCAGACTCAGTCCCCCATCGTCCTGATCTCTGCCTCCTGAGTAGGTAGGATTACAGGTGTGGCAGTACTGAGGTTTGAACTCAGGGCCTCATGCTGGTTAGGCAGGTGCTCTACCACTTGAGCCACTCTGCCAGCCCTTATTTAGGGAAATTTTAACCTGCTCTAGATCTGTGTTTTGGATATACGTTGCACATTCAAGTTTTTACTTGTTGAGAAAAGAGGACTTTTGCCCCAGGGATGTTTGATTTTTTTTTTTTGTATGTGTGTGTGTACTCAGGGCCTGTGCTTGCTAGTTTGATGCTCTACCACTTGAGCCACACCTCCAGCCATTTTTTACATTGGTTATGGGTTTCACGTTTATGCCTGGACCAACCTGGACCACAATCCCCTTATTTATGCTTCCTGCCTAGCTGGGATAACAGGTGTGTTTCACCTGTTATTATTTATTAGTCATGTACTTTTTGACCAAACTTGCTTGGACTCTTGATCCTCCTGATAATCACCTCCAAAGTAGTTAGGATTATAGGTATGATCACCACATCAGGCCCAGAAATGTCTTCATGGTGGGACCAGCCTTTTTTATTATTTATTCCTGACCAGGGCAAGCCCTGGCCAGGTGACCCGCAGACTGGCCTTTCGTCGTGGGGAGCTCCTCTGTTCAGTGTGATGGAGCACTGCCAGGGGCACTGCTGAAACCTTGTTGTCACTAGGACTTAGATACCCTAAGCTACAGAAACATCACCATAACCTCCTTAGTCCTCAAGGGGGTATAGTTTTTTCCAGATTCTCTTCTATCCTTTCTTTTTCTCCCTCTCAATAGCCCGTGGTTGTTGGAATATTTTTCTTTTTTCTCTCTCAGGACCTTGATCATTACGTGGCTTTCTGTTAACTGGAATGTTTTCTCAGGCAGTACTGAGAAAATAGAACATTAGTGTGATTCAACAGTGTGGTACATGTGTGATCTCTTGAATCATACAGAACTTACCTTTCTTTTTTGCAATATAAATGATAGCTCATGCTTTTCCAAGCTTGAAGTCCTTGTAGGAGAGCTCATATATTACCAATCACCTTTCATAAGAAATGCCCTCTTGTGTCAAAGGAGGCTTTTATATGTGACCCAAACTTTTATGTATTACTTTTTTAAGAAACATACTGTTCTGTCTCTCTTGTCACCTGTCATCACTGGTGTTCGTAATCATCCTGCCTCAGCTTTGCAAGCAGCTAAGTTTTCATTTATTTCAAAAGTCTTTACCTTTACTCAAGGAGCACAGTGATAATGGTGACTTTATAAGTCTTTGTGTCAGTCTGCTGCTAGAAGCAGCGCTTGCCACAAGAACGTGTGACAGCCTTGTAAACAGACACTGCTAGAAGCCTCTCCAACCAAACACGAAGGAATTACTGATTAAATCCAGCAATGAATTCTCTTGTTTTCATTGGACTTCTAGAATTTCATCCTCTTCCTTCAAGGCTTTTTCCTTAATTTAGGTTTTTAGCATTTATCAGTTTTGAGAATGAAAACATAAATATGTAAGCTTATAGAAAAATCGAGCAACACAGAATGTGTTTATGTAAGTTTATAGAGAAATTGAGCAACACAGAATGTGTTCTGCATATGAAAGTCACCTGTAATCTCAGTACTAAAGTGCCTAAGAGAAGTCCTTGTGTGGTAATTCCAATATATAGGCCACCTTGGGGTTGGCAAGTATTGATTGTCATTACCCTTGGGAATTGATTAAATTTTCCTGGTTCTTTGGAATGCTTCATGGATATTTTGAATATTGTATTGTGAGACACCAGATCTTGTTAAGAGTCACCTAGAGAATATTGAACTTGTTGTTACCTTATTTTTGTAAGAACAAAATTGCAACTCTAGCTCATTTTTGGTTGGTGAGGACTTTTATGTCAGTACCTTCTTCAAAGCCTTTGCTATGCTGCTTTGGGTGTGTGGCACTCCTGTAGCCCCCAGGGTCAGGCTGAAGTTCGGGTTGCTCAGTGTCAAGCCTGTTCCGTCCTGCTTTGTGTCAGCACCAGACAGGTGCATTTGACTAGTGAGTCTGGGACCTGTTGTGTCTGTGCACAGCATTAGCAGATTTTTAAAACTCAGTTTTCTTTTCTCCAAGATTCCCACTCACTTGCTGACTTGCAGGGATATTCTGGGTTCTTCTAGGCAGAACAAGAGGGTCTGTTTTGAGGTTTTGCTGCCTTACTTGATGCTCAACCTTGGCAAGCCTGGGAGGAAAATTCGAATGATAAAATCAAGGAAGGCAGTGCACCCTCATAGGCCTGGCTTTTCAAGTTTCAGCTCTCTTCCTCAATCTGTCTGCTTTTGTTTACTTGTTTCTCTAGAGTTTTTAGTTGTAATTAGTGGAGATGAGATAGACAGTAGTGATTTCTTCCATCTTGCTGGCACACACACACATCAGCAATTCATTCTGTTCACTATTTAAGACAAAAGCTCTATCTCTAGGTAATAAAGTCTACCTTTCTATTTGATCTCACTTTGGACTCTTGGCTTTGTATTTCATGATAACATTTTACTAGATGGTACCCAATAAATGCTTATTTTTTAATTGTCTAATTCATTGTTAACATATTATTCAGAATGTTTTAGGTACTTTTCAGCTAAAAAAAAAAAAAAAGGAGGGATAGGGAGAGGAATCCAAATACACTTCTTCTGGAAGAATCCTTACTTTTAAATGAAAGTTTCATTGAACCAGAATATTTCAGTTAAGACTTGGCTTATTTGTTTTGCATTTTTTATTTCAAAATAATTATAGATTCACAGGAAGTCTTACACAGGAAGTGTAACCATTACCCAGTTTTCCCCTTACAGTTGCGTCTTACACAGTTAGAGTAAAATAACAAAGCTTAGACTTTGATATTGTTTCAAAGTGTAGGTATAGTTGTATATCATCTCATCACATAGGCTAATAAATCTTATCAGCAGACCTTGAGAAATGGCTTCCTCACAACATGTGTATATGAAATGACTTCACTAATGTTTGTTCGTATTGGTAATGTCCCTTAGGATAGCTTTCAATTCCTTCACTGTGTTTTTAATTTTATGGAACTTAACGGCCCTCAATTGCTCATCAAAGACTTCAGCTCACCACTTTACCAGATCATGGTGTTGGCAAGAGTAGAGATGTCTCACTCATTTTATTGCCCTGACCCCAGGCCTAGGAGCTTCCCTGCGATCTCTCGACCTTTGACACTGTGCCACTTTGGGACATCACCCCTGCTACTGTGTCCTTGGTCTCATCTGCCCTGGATCACCTTGAGTTCTGCTAGTTTTGTTGACTGAGGGGAGATTAGGCCTTTCAACTTGACCTTGAACCCGAGCAGCTCCCAAAGGAGGAAGAAGATAGAAACTGAAGGCAGGGATTAAGTGAACTGAGACTGGAGCAAACTCCTAGTCCTTTCCCTAGGTAACTGTGGGTGGGGAGCACCGTGCAGCACAAGCTGGATCCCTCAACCCAGGGGTTCAAAGTGAGGGACTACACAGGTCTGCAGATGGAAGAGACCCAGAGAGCACAGAGCTCATCGGAAGCCAGTGTGAAAACTGATGTGTGTCGTGCTGTACACATTGTGGTGATAGTCTTATCTGTATTTTATTGTGGTTGAGTGGGTTTTGTCATTCATTCATTCAGCACTTTTTTTATTGAGCACTTACTATCTTTTAGTCTTGTTCTAGTCTCTGAGGACAGTAATGGTTTCCTTCCTTACAAGGTAAATAAGGTCTTCCAGGAAGACCTCCCTCTGGGTTTAGATCTGAATGAACTTGGTGGAATGAGTGAGACAGATGCCAAGAAAGAGGAGAGCTCCAGGCAGAGGCAAGCACATGAGCGAAGGGAATCCTGAAGATAGAACACTGAAAAGGAAGAAAAGCAAAGTCAAACTTGAGATTTAAATATTGGGAGCTGTTCTTACACTAAAATTTTGCTCACTACCTCCAATTACCCCCTGAAAGTGACAGCTATCTGGGACTACTAGCAACCTACCTAAGTATCATCTAAAAATGAGAGGTTAATGAATTCAAAGCTAGCTTAAGGTCTGGCGAGGTTGAGTTTTCCTTATCCAAAATACTTGGGACCAATTGCTTGTTTTGGATTTCAGATTTTGGAATATTTGCACATATACAATGAGGTATCTTAGGGTTGGGCTCTAAGTCTAAACATGAAATTCATTTGTGTTTCATGTGCATTTTATACACAGAGCCTAAAGTTAACTTATACAATATTTTTTACCACATCTGTGTTTAGACTACAACCTGTTGCATGAGGTCTGGTGTGTAATTTTCCATTTAGAGTATCACATTAACACTCAAAAAGTTTCAGATTTTGGAACACATCAGATTTTGGATTTTGGATAAAGGGTGCTCAACCTGTGCTATTTAAAAGATATTTTTCAGTACAATTTCTGTCTGAATTTCTTCATTTCAATCTGTCTTCCTTGGCCTGGAGATTTTTGCCTAGTGACTGTGAGATGATGTATTGTGGAGTTGCCAATCACTCACCCTTTGCTTTTGTTTCTAAAATGCACAAATATTTATCATGGCCTTAGAAATAGAATGCTTCTAGTCTTTGTAGAGGTGACAAAAAAGAAAAAAAAGAAGTGAGACACTTTTTGCCCTGAAAATGCCTGTAGGCTGCAGGAGACATAAGGCCTATGCAAATGTAAAATGTAAACCAGGTTTAGTTTGAAATAAAAATAGAGGAGAAGGGGCAAGTGGGATAGAATAGAAAGAGGTGAGTGAGATTGATGCAGGTAGCCAGCGCTTTCCACATGTACTTGGGAAAGACTGGAGTTTGCAAACTCAACTGGGGGTTGCCTGGTGGGGCTGAGCTTATCCCTGAAAGATGAGATTTTTCCTTGTCTACAATCAGCAAGTTCAATGTTTTCATGCTTATAACATTTCATAGCCATCCCTCCCCACCCCCACTAACCCCATGTGGACCCTCAGGCTCTCCCTGATCTTGCAGGAAAAGCTTTCTAATTAAGGAGCCTTTCAGCAACCCCTAGAAATGTGTTTTCTTAACACTCCCTGCTTTAAACTTCACACCAACTCTCCTGTCAAGAATCTCTTCTGGTGGGATTTGGGTGTTCATCTCTAAATTCTAGTCCTAAAGATAAAAGTGGCTTCCTTCCTTCCTTGGCTGCCTGAAAAGGACCTTGCTGCTAAAGACATTATGAATATAGTCATTAGTGTGTACATGGCCTGCTGTCATTCTTGAAGGTTGGGGACATTTCCTTTAGGAAACCTTCCTTGAGGCTTTTAACTTGATTAGTTTACTGTTGGCAGGAAAGATCCTAACCAGAAAGTTGTTGCTGAAAACATGTCTGTTGATTTATATTTGCAAACTTTTGATATATGTGATAGAGGAGATTGAATCTAAGCACATTCGAGGCAACGGTTTGCTTTTCCTTCCATTTAATTTATTTCACCATAATTCTTTCCTCTTTTGAATTTAAAACCTAGGTGATTCTTCCCCGCAACCCCCCCCCCTTTTTTTTTTTTTTGCCGTACTGGGGTTTGAACTCAAGAACCTACACCTTGAACTACTCCACCAGCCCTTTTATGTGAAAGGTTCCCCACCCCCACCCCGAGATAGGGTCTCACGGAACTGTTTGCCCAGGCTGACTTCAAACCAGGATCCTTCTGATCTCTGCCTCCTGAGTAGCTAGGATTGCAGGCATGAGCCACTGGCACCCTGCTAAACCTAGGTGATTCTTAAGATGGGTCTGGGACTAATATTTGTTCTAAGTCTTTTATTTATTGGCAAATCATGTAGGCTTCTTAATTTATAATTTTAAAAAATCAAGAACTGGGTCTGGAATATATTTTCGGTGGCAAACATTTGCCTAGTGTGAACTAAGCCCTGGATTTAGTCCCTAACATCACACACACACACACACACACACACACACACACACACACACAAACGCACACACAGCCCAGCTATGGGCTAGGTCTGTAGCTTAGTGGCAGAGCATATGCTTAACATGGGTAAGACTCTGGGTTTGAACACTAGCACTGCAAAATAAATAAATAGATAAGCAAATAAAGTAAAATAAGAAATAAATTAAGGACTCTTAAAAATTGGTCATGGAGGGCCATGTGTGGTGGCACAGGATTGTAACCCCAGCTACTGAGGAGGCAGAGGTAGGAGAGGATCAAGGTTCGAGACCCTGTTTGGTAAACAACCTGAAAGCAAAAGGTTTGAGGGGCATGGTTGCAGGCATGAGGCTCTGAGTTCAAACCTTGGTACTGCCAAAAAAAAAAAAAAAAGACACTTGTCATGGTCTTTCATGTCACGAAAATGTGTGTTTATTTATTTTGCTTGCAAAAATAAGTAGCCTGTGCTAGACTTAGGGATAGCATCAGTGGTCAAGAATAGCCAGCTGATCTTTTCAGTTCCCGTTTCTGGCTTTTGCAAGACACCAACCCCGGGAAGCATAAAGACAGTGCTTTGAAATACACTTGCTGCTAGTGAAAGGGAGATCCTCTTTCTGATTCCTTGGGCGAATCCCAAGATGTGTGGCTTCGGAGGGAATATTCCAAGATAGGAATAGCTTCACATCTGGTGTCTGGAGGGATTACCTCTGAACTCACTGCAACATTGAGTGGAGATTTTTCCTTCCTGTTGCCACAACTTGTATTTCAGTAAAGATGCCCTTGATAGACCGTCAGCAACGGTTGAGATTGAACTGTGGGAGTGTAGAGTGATTTCTGGAGCAGTGTGCCTCTCCGCTTTTTTGCAGTGGTCACAGCAACATCATGTCCTGTTTCCCCATAGTACCTTTCACTTTTTTTTATTGTGTACCTTCCCTGGCTAGATTATCCGTTTCCTAAGCGTAGGGAATGTGTCTTTTTCGTTCACTGTGGTATCTCTGGCTTTTGGGACACAATAGATACTTAGTGAATGATTTTTGAAATGTTTTCTATTGAAGGATCAGTAATGTTTTCTTGCTAGCTGATTTCAAATGATGTATCTTTTTTTTTTTTGTGGGATTGGGGTTTGAACTCAGGGCTTGCAAAGCAGGTGCCCTTAACGCTGGAGCCATACCTCCAGTCCATTTTGCTCTGGTTATTTTGGAGATGGGGGTCTTGAAAACTGTTTGCCCAGGCTGGTCTCAAACCTTGATCCTCCCAATCTCTGTCTCCCAAGTAGCTAGGATTACAGGCATAGCCACTGTCAAATGCTCTATCTTAAGTGTATGCTATTTGAAGGGAAAGACCTCCTCGAGGAATGATGAGCCAGGTAGAGTTACAGTTGTTGAGGTTTGAAGAGCCTTTTCTTTCTGCTGTGGATAACAGAATGGTGTCATCAGGTCAGGGAATTAACCTGGAGGGCCTGGAAAGGCTGAATCACATGAGTTCACAATGTGAATTTCTGTTTGCGGGTCGCTGTGTACCAGACTTGTGTTTGCAGGTTGGATTTGCTCCCAGAAATAAACCCATTAGTCCTCTGCTGAGCAGGGCTTTTAATTCTGTTCTTCCCATCCCCACTTCTACTCCAGATCCCTTCCAACCCTACCCTCCAAATCAGGTTCTTCAGAGTGCTGTGAAGACCAAGGGTAAAAGCCTGTTCCTTTTTGACTTTATTAGGAAAAGTTCAGATTTACGTGTCGAGGCTTTTCATTTTGATTGATTTTGAAGTTTGGGTAGAGTCCAAATAAAGCCAAAAACAAACAACGAAAATTATTTTACAAAAGGAAAAAAAAAACATAGAGAGGGAAGGAGGTTTACAAATGCAACCTCTGAATTTTGCTTTGCTTTTTAAAATATATATTTATATAATAAGTAAGTAAGTAAATAAATAAATCCAAACTGAAGAACAACCCTTTGGTCTGTACCTTAGAGGTTTCAATTTATGGATAGGCATAGAACTTTAAATATATCATCGTGGCTGGAGCTTTGGAAGAAAGTCAAGGTGAGCAGAGTTACTTTTGTACAAAAAGCGTCCCAGTGTCTGCCCCTAGGGTTAATTTCACACCTCTGGGTTCAATCTGAGCAGACGGTGGTCGTTCTCATCGGCTGCCAGGGGTCTGTAAGAATCTGTTACTCACCTAAGCCCATAGCCAAAATGTCTGATAGCCTTGCACCCTGATTTCCAACTCCCAAATCCCCACACCCATTCTAATAGTGACTCAATTATTCCCCCCCTCCCTTTTGTTTTCTTTCTCCTCTTCCTTTGCTGCAGACCATAAAACCATGGGAAACGCAGAAAGCCAAAATGTAGAGCATGAGTTTTATGGGGCGAAGCATGCCAGCCTGGGGCGCAAGCACACTTCGCGCTCCCTGCGCTTGTCGCACAAGACGCGGCGGCTGCGCCACGCCTCCTCTGGGAAGGTGATCCACAGGGACTCCGAAGTGAGCACGCGGTCCAGCAGCACCCCCAGCATCCCCCAGTCCCTGGCCGAAAATGGCCTGGAGCCCTTCTCCCAGGAAGGCACCCTAGAGGACTTCGGGAGTCCCATTTGGGTGGACCGGGTAGATATGGGTTTGAGACCCGTGTCCTATACGGATTCCTCCGTCACTCCCAGCGCAGACAGCAGCATCGTCCTCACTGCAGCCTCTGTGCAGAGCATGCCAGACTCGGAGGAGTGCAGGCTTTACGGGGATGACGCTACCTATTTGGCAGAGGGAGGCAGGAGGCAGCCTCTCTCTACATCCAACGGGCCCACCTTCATGGAGACCGCGAGCTTTAAGAAGAAACGCTCCAAATCTGCAGACATCTGGCGGGAGGACAGCCTGGAATTCTCACTCTCCGATCTGAGCCAAGAACATTTAACCAGCAACGAAGAAATCTTGGGTTCCGCGGAAGAGAAGGACTGTGAGGAAGCTCGGGGGATGCAAACACAGGCGAGTCCGCGGCAGCTCAGCACCTGTCAGCGGGCCAACTCCCTGGGTGACTTGTATGCTCAGAAAAACTCTGAGACGGCTGCAAACGGAGGACCAAGGAACAAATTTGCAGGCTACTGTCGGAATTTGGTGTCTGATATTCCTGATCTTGCAAACCATAAAATGCCACCAGCTGCTGCCGACGAAAATCCTTCATACAGTAATTATAACACACTTCCCTGTAGGAAATCTCACTGTCTTTCCGAAGGTGCCACCAACCCACAAATTAGCCTTAGCAACAGCATGCAAGGCAGAAGAGCAAAAACAACTCAGGTAAAGCGTTGGGAATCTGTTTCAATATTTTGGAAGTGGTGCATGGCTCTTTAAAGTGCATGGTTTTGCTCTTATAAGTGTCCCTTCTTTAAATCAGATGTCCTGTTTGCCTGGTGGCTGCTGCACCGGATTATGGGGGGGGGGTGTTGTGATAAGAATGGAAATAAAACTGAGAAGTTCCTACTGGGAAACTGGGTTTCAACTCCCTTCTTCAGCTACACCCCACTGATTGGAGCTGCCTTCCTAACTTGGTCCTTTCTGTGGACAGACAGGCATGGCGGGTTGCAGACACTTGGGGTGCATTTCTTCCTTGTATTAGGTAGAAAGAGAGGTTCGTGGGCAGCTCGTTTGAAGATCCATTTCTAATTCAGAGAGGGCTCTGGTCACTTGTCAGCCTCTCTCACAGCTTGGCAGGCTTGCTGCCTTACCAGGAGCCATTTCAATTTCCTGTTCCTTGCGATGCTGGCCAGCTCTGTCTCTGGAGGGAGATGTAGCAGAAGGAGTGACGTGGGTGGGTTCCAGTTCCTACTTTAAGGCCAACTTGTTCAACCTTGGGCAAACCCTGACTTTTACTTCTTCCTCTGAAAAATGGGGATGGGGTGCTCGGCTGGCCAGTGTTCAAGACCTAGTGCTTAGAGAGTGGGCGTGAACACATGTTTAAAGGACTTAAAGATGTCTCACTAATGAAAAGGAGAGTCCGCAAGCTTGGCTGGCAGCAATAATTAATACTAGGATAATTAAACATTGAGCAATTCTGTATGCATTGGTTCTTTGCTGATACTGCTGTTCCTTGTGGCACAGTTCAGTTCCAGAAGTTTGTGTTATGGATGACTTGATGAGTTTGAGGAAGTAGTGGTAGATGGCACTTCATGTGAAAAATCTGGATTGGGCCCACCTGCTCTGAAAGGCATATTGGGCCTTAGGGGTGACCAGCAAAGACTGCTGTAGGCAGTGCTTTGGCCAGCCCAGTAGGAGATGGTGCCATACCCCCTGGCTTTGTCACTGTGCAAGTGTCATGGACATTTGGAGGTTTGCTAGGGGTTGAAATACAATGGTACAGATGGTGGAGCCAGGAAAGGAAAATTGATTATGTTTCCTGAAGATGGGTTTTGCTGATGGTGTCCAAGCCACACATAGAAAGAGCCTCACCTCTTCCTATCTGGGTGACTTTTTGTAAATTATTCATTGTTTTGAAATTTTAATTTCTTCATCTTTTAAAGTGGGAATATCAGGATTAAGGAACCTGAAAGGAACAGAAGGGCTGTCTTGAAGATGTCTGACACCCCAGGTCTGATTCAGAGGAATGACCTGTTGATCATGCAGTTGGAGAAGGGCACATTGACATAGACTTTGCATTACCCTCAACTTTCATTTTTACCCATAGCAGTGCTAAATTGGCCCCTGTTCAGTGAAAGGTCAGAGAGGAGTGCCCCCAGCTGTGTTCTGGCACTTTATCTACATGGTCCTACCACTGGGGGCAGCTAGACCCCTGCTTGCCCCTACAAAATTCTTTGCTGATACGGGTGTGAGCCTTTGAGTCACAGCCACCCATGGGAGAGGGGCAAAACAAAGCAGCCCTCCCCTCCAGATCCAAAAGCTTTCATGTGTATTCATTATATGAAACTTTCATTCCTTGGCTTGTCACCTTCTAAAATAGTTAATGTATGGAAGTGAGATCATCTGCGTGTGGTGTCTTATAAAGTCACTGCTTAATGTAATGCGGAGAGCAATGGAGTAGGAATCCTAAAAAGGACATTTGCATCCTGGCTCCTCTGCTTACCCAGTGGGTGACCTTGGGCAAGTCACACTGTCTTATGGATCCTTTTCTGTCCAGAGAGAGTGTGACACCATCTTCTAACAGGGTCATTAGAAGCACCAAATGGGATCCAAAGCTTGGAAGTGTTCTACAGAACCGCTAAAATGAGCGGAAGTATTATTTTCGTATTGACTTTATATGTTGAGTGAAGATCTTTAATGACTTGAAACAAACCCCAGAATTATATCAACACTATCCATCCACCCACATTTCCTAGTCTAAGTTTGAGCCCACTGTGTTCCAAACAGTGTATTTTAAGAGACAGTGGGTGTGGAAGCTTCCTTGAAAATAATTCTTTTTTTTTTTCCAGCACAAGTTTTTGACCCACGGGACCGCTCCATCTCCAGCAAGCTTGAATCATAGATATTGCAGTCTCCTTGTCTGCCCTGCTGATGTAGCTGAATTGCTAATAGTGCTGTCAGCAATTTTGCTACAACACCCCCCCCCAAAGTTCCTGGCAAACATTTGTTCCAAGAGCATGGCCTCTGAGCCTGGAGAAAATATCCTGTATCCAAAATAATGTGGACAATTTCATTTGATTTGAAAATGATCAAAAAAGAGTTTTTGGCCATTCTTCCTGTTTTTGTAGTTATTCAGTAGTTGGATGTGTTACTGAAATGGGAAGGCCGTGGAGTTCAGATTTAGGTTTTGAAAAGTGACTCATATTATACATCATGGTATCTGGCAGGCAGTCGTTTATTTAATTCAGTTATTTGAGCATTTTGTGTGTGTGTGCATGCACGTGCACATGCCGTGCATCAAAGTTTGTATTTTGAGTCAGTAACGAATAAAGCCGCATACTGTTGAAGCAGAATTTACTTGGACTGATCCCTATGAAGGCACATACAGGCTGTGCACTAGATTTCATTAATGGCGAATTAGGCTTCTGACCGGAATGTGGCTCTTTGGTGACAGAGGGGCAGCCTGATACCATGCAGAGACAAGAGCGCCAGCACATCTGAGCTGGTAGTTCGAGCCTGTTGCGTTTGTTTATTTAGCCTTTTGGAGCTCTGTGCTTCCTCACTGGAGCTGATGGAGGACTCGGGATTCTGAGAAGGAGTGAATGGAAAACCATGGTGGTGTAGACCCTTGCACATAACAGATGGTCAGTGTGGATTGGTTATGAGTGGTGATGGCGCAGTCTGGCTTCATGTGTAGAGCTCAGCTCTCTTGCACTCTGAGACCTTCAAAGGGTGAGCTGGAGAGAGAGAGTGCTGTCACTGGTGCCCCGTCCACCTTGTAGCTGGGTTCTGAACTGCTAACAGGAGTACTGACTTGGAGCCCTGGGCATACAGTTGTGAGGAGTTCACCCATCCGCTTGGGAGGTGAGAGAGTATCTCAAGGAGCCACAGCTGCAAAGGGACCTATGCTTAGGTGTGGTGCTGGAGATTAGCTTTGTGGCTTGGACTGGCCAGTATCCAACACCTGAACATTCCCAGAAATTCTATAGACCATTGTATGGAGTGGGAACGGGCTAAGGCAGAGCTCTCAACCTGAGCCAAGGGATTCGTTTTAGGCTAGTTTCGTTCTTGAAAGAACATGGAGGAGTCTCACAGATTACCTCTCTACCCCACCCCATTGCTTCCTCAGAGTGGGGAAGAGGATCTAAAGACATTAGGTGGTAGTTCTCAAAAAAAGGGCTTTTGACTCCCTGATGGTTAGTTGCCCTGTTCTCCAACACAGTACCTCTCTGTGTCCTTAGAGTTTCAAATCAAAATCCTTAATTCTGGTACAGAAGCAAAGATGAGACTTGTTGGCTAAAAGGAAATTGTTTCTGCCTACTCCCATTACCGAAAAGAGTGGTTATAATGACCAAGAAAACGCTTGAGTTTTTCTTTGATCAGCAAGAAATTGGATTGGTGGTTTTACCAAGAGTAAAGGTTGGAGCATTATCAGAAGATGATATTGAGTTCCTAGAAAATTGTGTTGCTTTTTAAAATTTTGTTTCTTTTGACAATTTAGCTCAAGTGGCTCAGAAGTAAGTTTGTTTCCCAAGCTGAAAATTAGCACCTACAGTCAAGGAAAGAATCCCTTTGCAATAGACTCCTTATAGAATCAGCTGAAAAAACTGGACTTTCTCCTGACATAAACATATGGACCACCCTTTGACATGTTATCTCAGAGGGTCTGTGGACCCCCTAAATTCGATCCAGAGGCTTCTGGTTAAGAACCTTATATTAGTCAGGCTCATTCCTATAATCCTGGCTACTTGGGATGCTGAGGTTGGGAGCATTATGGTTTGACACCAGCCTGGGCACAATTTGCAGGACCCCTATCTCTAAGCTAAGCAAGGCAAAATGGACTGTAGGTGTGGATCGAGAAGTAGAGCACTTCCCCTGCAATCACGAAGCCCTGATTTCCAAACCCAGACCTACCCAAAAACCAAAAACCTCACATTAATTCTTCATCCAACCCATCTCTCCCTTCCCTTCCCTTATCTTGCATTTGATGCTTTTTTGTGTATGTGCTTCCCTCTTTATCTTTCTTTTTGGCATGTAAATTAAGCAGTGAGATATTTATTTTGAAAATGAGTCCTTCTATTTCCAACAAGTGTATCTGTCTCCCTTGCCAAGATCTTTTTTGGGGAGTGGGAGAGTATTGGGAGATGGCTTTCATCACCAGTTCTCAGACCCCTTTATGTTCCTCAAAACCATTTTCAGGACTGCTGGAGTGGTTCAAGTGGGTAGAGCGTCTGCCTAGCAAGTGTCAGGCCCTAAGTTCAAACCCCAGTAGTGCCCCAACCCATATATATATATATATATATATATATATATATATACACATATATATATACATATATATATATAAAACTATTTTTCCAGGTACTGGTGGCTCACACCTGTAATCCTAGCTACTCAGGAGGCTTACAGCTCAAAGAGAGACCCTATCTAGAAAAAACCTGTCACACAAAAAAAGGCTTGGTGGAGTGGCTCAGGCAGTAAGAGCACCTGCCTAGCAAGTATGGATCCCCAAGTTCAAACTCCAGTACCTCCAAAAAACAAATTTTTTTTTGAACTCCAAGAGACTTACGTTTATATGGGTTATAGCTCTAAATATCTTATCACCTAAGGAATTAAAATAGGAATGTAAGAAAATGCTTATCGATTCATTTTAAATTAGCAGTGTACCCTTTACATGTTCATATAAATATCTTTTTCTTGAAGTCTTTTTATTTTTTAAAATT